AAAACCAGCTGATTGCATCGACTCATTGACTCTTCAGCAATCCCTCACACTATTCCAAATTTTCTCCCCTTCCAACCAAATACAAACGCTTGCTGTTGATGTGTACATTGACAACTATAATGTTGTTCAGACTTTAAGTCCATCACTGAAAAAAATCTAAATCCAGATAAGTAATTTTTTTCTTAAATTAAGTGCATTTGTTCTTGGATTGAGGAGATAAAAGATAAATTTTGCAAATGGAAAAAGACAATTTACACTTAAAATATGAAAACATAATTGCATTGTCTTACTCCAAGTGCAAATTATCTAATTGTCTTATTTTAAGAGTAAAAATACTCATTCCATTGGCAAACTATCTCATTTACCAACTCAAATTAAGGATAAACAGTTAATTTAAGACATTTTTATTTATTTCAAGATCGTTTTTCCAGTGTAGTAATAAGTCTGAAATTTGAAAAAAAAAACAGAAATTTGAAAAAAATAGGAAATCTATAAAAAAAGAAGAAGAAATGAAGAAAATAAAACCTGAAAAACAGCAGAGTTACTCTTAAAACCTTTTTTTTATTATTAAAACTTGTTTTAAAGTTTCATTTAAATTTGCAAAACATGTTTTTGTTTATTTTTTCCATTTTTTTTAAATGTGTTCCTTTCTTGCAACAATATTGGACCATAACTGACTCCATAACAATAATGTAAAGTGCATTATATTTTAAAAACAACACTTAAAAAATAACAACTTTTCAGATACTAGGCTTCCTGGTATTCATGACTTTTCCTCGCTCACATTTTATAACATCATATCCGTAAACTTTGCACGGTTTATAGGTGTTTTATTTATGCCAACAACAACGAAGCACATTAGGGGAATTGAAGTGGAATGATTCATCGTTAATGAGGGCTTCACAAATACTAGTCTAAAAAATGTGGCATGTGTTTGTATTTAGCCCTACTGAGCCAATACCATGCAACTTCATGTTTTGGGAATTTTTTGCAGCTGAATTTTTTTGCAGCTGAATTTTTTGGCAGCTGAATTTTCACCAGGTAAA